GGTGTCAGGGAGCCGGGTGACTATGTAGTAGAGGGTGATGTACATGGGGGGGGGGTTCTTGGCGCAGAACTCAGCAGGAAGCGCAGCGCGGTAGCGAATGTCACTAGTGCGAAGGTGCGACAGTGGGAAAAGCGGCGAGGTCAGGGAAGAGGTACGGCAGTATGAGGCGGCTAAGCGCAGCAGTGGCAGGGGAAGAGTAGCGTGCAACTACAGCGTCGTACAAGGTCTTAGCACTCTTGTACTGACTAAAGTGCGCACGCTCAGCGGTCGGCAAGTGGCGGCGCACAGCAAGGCGGGCAGCAGCATCGCGCGTGGCCCACTGTGAGCGAACAGTGGCGTCAGCATCAGCAGTAGGGGAAGGAGAGGCACTAGAATTGAGGTCAAAGAGGGAGAGACCGTCTGCCCTATCGCACTGTAGGAAAAGCTGCAGATCATCTACCCAGACCTCAAAGTCAACAGCCCGACCCTCAGCGTCAAAGGTGAGAACACTGGGGGTGGCCATGACAGCAGTAGACTAGCAGTGAGAGCAGCAGGCTAAGGGCAGTGCAGTGGCAGAGGCGCTGCTCTTACCGGGCAGGCGAGAAGGACCGAGGCTCGCCGGCAGGGACAGGGCCGCGACTGCAGTGACGGCGGCAACTCGGCTGCGGCGGCTGAGGCAACGGTGGCAACTGCGGCTCGGCGGCAACGGCGACTCGGCGGCTCGGCGGCAACGGCGGCTCGGCGGCAACGGCGGCTCGGCGGCAACGGCGGCTCGGCGGCTCGGCGGCTCGGTGGCAACGGGAGCAACGGCGGCTCGGCGGCACGGCGGCAACAGCGGCTCTGCGGCTCGGCTGCAAGGGAGGCTCGGCGGTTGGCAGCTCGGCGGCTCGGCGGCGACGGCGGGGCCGTGAAGGGTGGCGTCGGGGCCGCAGAAGGGCGGCGGCGGGGCCGCAGTAGGGCGGCGTCTGGGCCGCAGTAGGGCGGCGTCGGGGCTGCTAAGGGCGGCAGGGCCGCTGAAGGGCGGCGACGTGGCCGCCGAGGGCGGCGACAGGGCCGCAAGGGGCGGCGACGGGGCCGCTAAGGGCGGCGGGGCCGTGGAGGGGCGGCGACAAGGCCGCGAAAGGGCGGCGACAGGGCCGGGTGGGGCGGCGACGAGGCCGCGAAGGGCGGCTACGGGGCCGCGGAGGGGGGCGACAGGGCCGCAGAGGTGGGGCGACGGGGCCGCGAAGAGCGGCGCCGGGGTCGCGTAAGGCGGCGACGGGGCCGGTAAGGGCGGCGACGGGGCCGCGAAGGTGGGGCGACGGGGCCGCTAAGGGCGGCGAAGGGGTCGCGTAAGGCAGCGTGAAGAGGGCGCGACGGGCCGCTAAGGGCAGCACACCGAGCGCGCCTCGGGCAGGGGCGACGCGCGCCCCGGGCAGGAAAAAAATATTGATTTGGGTGGGCCCTAGGAAAAGTTCCCACTAGGGAACCTGCTCTATACCATGTGAAAATGAGAACGAGAATGGATGCATTGAGCAGCATGAGGAGTACAAGTACCAAACCCTAAAGTGTTGTACCCCATGTAAGCTACCCCACTACAGCCTACACAGACTATAGTATATGAGTTTGACACCTCATCAACCATGTCATAGTGGTTACGCGCAGGTCGACCAACTTTCTCGACCTGCGTGCCCAAGCTGGCGTCGACCCTTGCGGACGATCGGCTGCACCTCCTGCGCACCCGACCACAAGGTCGACGTCACCCTCTGCAGATGATCGGCTCCACCTCCCGCGCACCCGACCATGAAGTCAGTTCACCCAAGCGAGGACGGGGCCATCTTCCTTCAACACACCCAACCTCATGTTCCCGAGGTTCCCGCCTAGCTAGGTGGACCCGCAATATAATTGCGTGCCTTTCATTGTATCGTTAATTCATAGTGTCAAAGCTTCGTTATTCATTTTGGGCTCAACTCTGTTTTACAACTCCTACCAATGGTGCCTGATTATCATTTGCTTGTTTTCCCTTAGGCCCCCCAGCACTAGCGTCGTTGACAAACCAGACGTCTGTGTGGAGTCTGTCCAAACTGCGCCCAGCGTGGGCGCATGATTGATTCCCTGAACGCAAAGCTGTCATATGTGCAACCATTATCGTTGATACTCAAATTATGGCCGGAGCATTTTTTTGTTCATACTCAACCGACAATTTCTCATTATATTACTTACATGTTATATTATAAGCACAAAGCTGAAACAAAGTTGCCACCAGCACCTCACCCGCACATACCCCTGCAAACAAAACAAGATATAAAATGAAACACTTAGATAACACGAACACACTTTGGGAAAATCAAACCTAAATACGGAAAGCTATCCAAGGTTGATGCCTTCGATTTTGATTGCGTTTTTCCTATAGGTTTTAATATACCTAGTGTTCTTTACGGAAGTTAAGCTCCGATCCAAGGTCGCGTAGGCCTGCATCTCATATTTACAACTGTTTAACACTTGGTTGGATTTAGGCTTCCGTGATTGGTTGGCGAACTACAATATTTATGACGAGCTGGGATAAACTTTTAGCTTCACCAATCACGGGCGTGCGTAACCAGCCGAATGTTAAACGTCAGGGTATAAGTGTAGAACGCATGTAAATATGAGACGCGAGTTTTATGTTAACCCATGTCAAGGCGCTTCCGCATATAAGGGGTTACGTATTCACATCGACAACTCGACACAATCTTTCGTATTTTAGTTCGGTAACCGCGTTGTGTTTCTGTCACATTTCAATAGTTTTATTAGCGTGGAAAGAATGATTAAAGAGCGAGAGCCAATCGCAATGAGGAAAACATGTTGAGTAAGAACGAACAACGCTCCGGGCATAATTTGGGCCCGGTTCGGCAGACATTATGGGCATTTTTAACGGGCCCCCAGAAAATGACGCATAGAAACATCTTCGAAGTCAGACTGTAGATGCAGTGCACCTTCGCAAAAACGGGGCGGAGCGTTCGGTTGGCATTAATTGGGTTTCGATTGATGGCATCAATCGAAATTTGTCTTCGCAGAAGCTGGAAAGCAGCTGCGCTGATGGAGCGCATGATCACTGTACTAGCAGCCCAGGCCTGCCCTGCAAACCAGTGGTCCCGTCGAAAAAAAAAAAAAAAAAAAAAAACCGGCAGGGGAAACTGTGTACGAATGGGAACTGCGTTCGTTGTGTTAGTGATGGTTTGTTGGTGGTTTCGAATTTCCAGCTGGCAGGAAGAGGGGTCAGAAAGAGACGAGACATGTTTTTTTTTTTTCAGGGCAAGGTGTGATTGCCCCGGATAACTGATCCTCCGCATGGAGCGGGCTCTCGACGACGTACCATGCGGCGGATCAGTGGTGCATCATTTTGCCAGAGGAACCGGGTTCGTGGAAGATTCATATGGTGGAAAACGACCGCTGTTCGGCTGGCATTTTGAAACACTCTGGTTCGGCGTATACCCGCTTATATCGAGCCTTGATAACCAATCACGCGCTTATCAAGGAAGGTTCCAGGGTGGTCGTTTCACTGTAGCCTCCCCCGGAGCCCGTTAATTTGATGCCTGCCGAACGGGGGCCTTGAGTACACCCTCATTCTCGATAGACTGGCATATGTTATACCGTTCGAGACGCTTAGTGTAACCGCAACGGACCAAAGGTGGTCCTATCACATGCGTTATAGTGACAATTTGACCCAAGGCGTTGAGTCAGTCAAGGTATCAAACTTCATAGAATGGTACTGCTGTTTTCAAAACGGTTGGGACGGTTATTCAGCGTTAATGGTTTTTTACTGCCCAAGGCTTGTTTCGTCACCGCGGGCGACTTTGCCCGCAACAGAATTAGCACACCAACCCGATACGTCCAAACACTGTAGCCACTGCGTCTGCTGGTGCGAAGGCCGAGAACAAGGGTGTATCAAAGATAAGGCCCGGTCATATGTACTGTACCTTCCACATGCTGACGTTGTTCGCTTGGTTGGTTGACGCCACATGTAGGGCCTGCCAAACCACGAGTCAAACGTAGGTTTAGGTCAGGGTCGACCAATGGCTGAAGATCAAGGACGGGTTGCTACAGCACAGCTGTAAAGTGCTTGCCACATAAGCGCATGAACAGATGAAGACGTTGCACTCACATTCGCTGCACAGTGGGTCACATGGCACGGCCCGAGCCACAGAACAAAACCAAACCAAACAACCCTTGCTTGCCCCTTCCCCCTCCAAACCGAACCTAGCTGTCAGCGGGAATGAGTGAAGGGTTGTTGGTTTGGTTTGAATGTTCGCCCTAACCACATTTGGCCCTTCTGAACAGTCATCTCACCGTAATAAATCGTTATGGTAACCCCCGCAACCCGATCAAAACGTGCAAATGCTATTGGCGCTTCGCCCCCCAGTAAGGCTGCAGTTCACGGTGCGCTGTCCCTTCCCAAGCCAACTGGCTCCTCTCCTCAGACCCCGCGAATCTTTTGCCGCACGCGACGGGGCTTGTGCCTTCATTCAGCCCTGGAGTCAGCAGCACTTGACCATGGAGTCTCCTCTCCTCTCCTCCCCTCCCTGCACGTGCGCTTCGTCGCGGCGCAAAAGCCTCCATCAACAACATGTGAGCCCCCCCACCACCCCCCAACCAAAGTCAACACTGTATCAACCCCCTCTGTCCACCTTTTGAACAACCCATCAAACCAAGCCAACCCCTCCCCCACTCCCCCACATACAAACCCCCATCCCCCCACATACAGGGGTATCATATGTACCGAACCGATCACCGTCCATATGTAATTCCGTATTCTCTGCACACAGAACAAATGCACATAACGCATCTCCCCTGTTCAGTCTTCCAATTTTGTTCAAGCAAGCTAGCTAGCTATTCAAGATCTTGCTGGGATTATTGTGACTCAGACCAGGCCACCGCCACTCCTGTTTTTCATCTCCTACCAAGAAACCCCTTTCCACGCTACCAAGGTTGCACTCAGCTGAGTATTTGAACTGATAGTAGAAATTGGTTGTCACCGATACACTGGCCGAATTTCGCGGTGAATGGCGAGTAAAATCTGTGCCGTGCCAGCCTTCAGCATACAAGCGACGAGCAACCTTGGAGCACCGCTGGGACGTTTTCCAGACATGGACAAGGACGCGTTCGCGAGTGCGTCTTCGAAGAAAGGATGGGAAGGTAAGCTCGTTGCTCTCCCAAGAAGCACATGAATCCCGGTCTGTAGTAAAATCGATACCAATGCAGCAGACTGTTAATACGCAGAGTGCCGCGTGGTTTGACGTAGTGCCCTCTGACAGCTGACTGCCGTAAGATGGCTCTTGTATGCGCAATGTGCATAGCACAGTGCATCACGCCTCTTCCTTAATGCATTTTTAAGTCGATTTTCTCCTCCATTCTTTTTCTTCGTAACTTTCTTTCATTTCTTTTCTTTTCGTTCCGCAGACATTGAACGGTCATGCGCGCTGATGGATTCGAGCAACTTGCAGATCGACGGTATAGATCTGACGGATCTTTTGGAGGAAGACGACGACTTGCAAGGGATAAACTCTACATCAGAGGCCGAAACTTCTGAGCAACTTCAACTTGAAGCTGCTCTCGACGCGTTACACGTTTCGAACGACAAACAATCGCCTCTCGGGACGGGAGGTGATTCGCTCGCTGCACCTTTCGTCGTGCCTTGGGATTGCCTGCCCCCCGCCTCTACCAGCAACGCCGCTTCCGCCGTTCCCGGCGCCGCGAGCGTCGCTAGGATGCAATGCACCGGAAGTCTCAAGGACCGCCCCGCGCAGCCTATGGTTAGCTCTCCGCCAGCTTCCAATGCGGTCCTGCGCGGTTCTGTGGATCCATTTCTTATGAAATATCGCTTAGACACGCAGGCGTCGAGCCATAGCTTCGGTGGCCTGCCTTCTGCTGCGGAAGGCTCTTCTGGTGGTGTTACAGGCAGGAGTAGCTGCAGCGCCTCGGGCCTAAGCTGGAACCCGAGCTCGAGCCTGAGTGACAATAACGGAAGTCCGAACGGGAGCCCGAGTGGCTTGAGGACCAGGTTCGGTATTTCAAAATCGCACCCCACCACGGAAGTAGGTTTGGTGGATAGTGAGCGAACGGGCGAGAAAAGGGGAGAGGCGTCCGGTGCGGAGAGGGATGGGGGGAGGCAGGGGGGATGGAGTGCGCAAGAGATGGCATTGGAGAATTCGCCGGTTCGAAAAGCTGCCCTGTCCATGCGTGTGAAGGCTGGAGCCAACCCTGCTGCTGTGGAGGCATATTTGAGGATGAGGGCGCAGAGGGACGGTGCTGCGAGGGTTGTGCGCAGATGAATAAAGCAGGTGGTTTGATAATTGCTATCTTTCTCAATTGAGGTTTGTAATTGTAAGTGTATTTTTTATGCAGATTGTGCACATCTGACAAAGCATTTCTAAATGAGACTACATGGTGACATGATTATACAAAACTCCAAGGTACAGAATCTTTAGATAGGACATGCATAATCAGCTTCCACCAACCGCTGCAAGGGCAGCCGCAGGTCGGGGAGCAGGAGCAGAAGCACGCGCTCCCTCAAGCACCTTTCGTTTGAAGTACAGCTCAACAGCGGCGGGGTTCGCTCCGCCCACCACCTTCACAGCGCGATCTCCCGCTATTATCCTGCCCTTCAATTCCGATCCAGGTTTAGTATTTTTCCCAACGGAGGGCATCTCGCTGGGAGTGGATTCGCTGCTGCTAGTAGACGTTCCAGAGGGAGAGCGACCGGCCACGAACAGTAACGGGCTCGTCGGCGATTCTTGACGGCTATCCGACACTTGACTGCTACCGGCAGCCGGCAGAGCTGTGCAGGTGGTTGACCTTCTGACGGACGACGGTTCCGCGCCGCCCGCAACAACTGCAGTCAATGATGGGGTCGCACAGGAGATTGAAGTTCCCGCGCCGTCGCTGTCACTTGAGGTCCCAAGGGCTTGATGAACGGCGGCTCGGTACGCCTGCAGGGGACTTTTTTTGCTGGCGCCGCCACGGCTTGACGCACCGCGGCTTGTCGCGCCGGAGGCCCCGAGTGCGAAGCTTCCGCCGATGGGCCAGCGGTTGCGCGCGGATTCGCGTCGCGTGTGCGGGGGATCGCTTCGGGGACGCACGCCGCGCGCCGACTCTGCGTAGATCGGAGCAAGGGGACAACGAACGAGGAGGACGCGAATGGGATAAGAAAATTGTTAGTGACCGAGAATGGGGCGAATAGAAGCGGAGTCTTGACATGTCAAGAAGATGCCACGAGTGCGAGGAACTGAACGCGGAGGCGAGAGGCGCGCTCACCAGAAGCTCGGTCAGTAGTCTTGGCGGCTCCCCATTCAATATCGCGGAAAAAGGAGCCGCCATGGCTGGATCGAATTCCTTCTCGGGGCTCCTTTCGACTCGACTCAAGCGCTCTCGGCTCGACATCTCGGAAATAGTGGCCGTGGCTAGAACGGATTCCTTCGCGGCTCGTGTGCTCCCACGCTTCCACTTCGTCTTTACATGCCGAAACCGCCGCCGCGTCCAGCATCGCGAAATGTCGCTCGATCGCCGGGTCGGAAGCAGGGAAGAAGCGCGCCATACTAGACTGCTAGTACTAATTAGTAGGATAGTGACGTCTGTAGTACTAAGTTAGAGCGTTACCGAAGAATTTCGGAGGGGATTAATTTTGAGGCGCTTGAGGCTGAGGCTGGCTGAAGGATTCGAGGGAGAACTTTGACACGACCTGGAGTTGACGGCATGAACGACGAGATGTGAAAAAACGAAGGGACTTCTACTGTATCAAATTTCATGCCTTCCTGAGAACTGGCATTCCGCACGAGTGAACGATGATGCCCCTCGATCCCCCGTGCACACTGCCGTGCTGTCGCTCCTTCCTACCTACGCCGCAGCTGTGTACAGTACCTATTTACATGGGCTCAATTTCTGAATGGAGATGGACGAATCCAGAACGGCCATTTTCAGGTGCATGCAGCTTAGTCGAGGCGCGTTATTCAGGTGCATGCTATCCCGTCGTTTTTCTCCCTCTGTTACCACTGTTTGTACACATCCGCCACTAAAAATACTGTTCCGTCAGGGGAACACAAGCAGCACACGCAACACACGCAACACACAAAATGGGACTGGCAGGGAAGCCCGAAAATAAAAAAATACAACTCATAGAAAGCCTGGACATTGTTCGGGAGGGATCGACCCTAAACACGGGAACCTTCATGGTGTTTAGGGTTGTTGTCACGTAAGGCAGTGGGAAAAAAAACCTAGGGAACCTGGACTAATTTTCCGGAAGAGATCAACCCTAAACACGGAACTGCCCTCGTGTTTAGGGTTGATTCCTCCCGAGTTGCATGCGTTTCCAATTGGGCTCTATATTTTTCTTGCCCGTATTTTGTCAGGTGTATTGCGATATGTGCTGACCTCGTTCGCAGTAAGGCTGCGACTGGTGTGGTTGGACGACGAGTTCGTGCGAGAGCTGCGCCAGTTGGTGTCAGTCGGATTGTAGCATCCCCTGACGGAACAGTAATTTTCGTGGCGGAGGTGTACATACAGTAACAACAGAGGGAGAAAAATGACGGGATGGCATGCACCTGAATAACGCGCCTCGACTAAGTTGAATGCACCTGAAAATGGCCGAATCCAGAAACGCGCGAGCACACCAAACCGATCACCACCTGCTTTCCATTGGCGAACCGCGCTCCTTCCCCGGTTTCGATTGGTTGGATTGGGCTAGGCTTGTATGTCTTGGTATCCCCAGACTGGAACCACGTGGTTTGGTCTGTACACAGCGCTGGAGCTCCCGCAAATCAACGAATTCCCGAACCTGTTTCCTAGACCTGAGGTAAATCCAGCACACCATGGGTGACGCGACGGACATTTCGTGGTGGTGATCCGCTTGTGCTCGCGCCGCTACACCGCGGCAGCCCTGCGAGAACCAAGGCAATGCCAAAGCAGTAAATCCAGCTGATCGCTGCCGTGTAACAAGTCGGTTTACACGTCTTTTAGTTTTGTACACCTGATGCCCATTTCAGTCCCGTTCCCCATCTTTCTTTGTGCTCCTCTTTCGAGCACGCGCTCACTGCGGGGAGAATGGGACTGTATCTGGGTAGCCCAGCGTGTCTTTTCTGGGAAACTCGAATAACTTATTCGAGGTCAAGAATATCTTACTTTGTCGTGGGCTAGCAACGCGCGGGCCGTTGTCTGTAAATGTCGACGACTGGGCGTATGGAGTGGCAGTGGGCGTGTTCAGATTGGGCGGTTGAGTGAGCATTAGGGTGTATCAAGGTTAGCGACGTGTTGCAATTGCCGGTGCTCTGCATCGGCTTGTAACGTTTGGAAGGCTCCAGGCAGGCGGGAGGCAAAAACGGGCCCTGATTCGGGAAAAGAAAAAATTTACGATAGTGAATCAACAAGTAATTTGATAAGGTTATATTAGGACATGGAATGTTTTTGCGCGTTTCCTGTAAAGCTTTTCCGGCCATTTGCTTTCCTGAAGCCTTCCTTCACCCGTGCCTCGAGCTAAAACTATGCAGTGCACCGCAAATTGCAACACGCCGTAATAATCTGAGTAGTGCCATTTAATGTTCTAGAACATACACACGCAAAAACAAACGAATATGGCTTTCTCCATTGGCTGTGCAGCTGCCATTGAGCAGAATATACCATAACGAGACTTCACATTGCGTGAAATCCTAGCACAATCTTTAGTAACCTAACGTCTATTTAATTCGAGAAGTGTAGTTTGGCACGGGTTTTACTTCTTGATATTATGGAAGTTGGGGTAGTTGTATGTGAAGATCATTCTAGTGAGTTGTCTGGTGGAATGGGGTCTAGTGCGTACTGTACGCAACCAGTTGGGTGGACTGAAGCAAACAAAAACCTAGTTACAGATCGGCACGGGCAAAATTGAACAACAGAAATACGTTTGTGTGGAAGACGAGAGTGGCATATTTGGTTTGGGTGCACGAAATGCCAGGTTCGAATATTCGCAACTAGTGGCTAATTTCCCATCATGCGAAATCCGTAGCCAATAAAATACGTTTCGGCACGGCATAAATTCTCGCTACGATAGATCATTTGCTAGTAATTGACGAAATATTTTGAACCGCACCGTATTTGTCTTCGACTATCTCTCTTGCACGTGCTAGAATCCAATTTCATCACAACACAAATTCCTGCTGGTTTATGAGAGCTGGATGTGCAATTCGGTGACGTAGTTTTTTGACATGTGAGCCAGAATCTGGGCTTGCAAAAAGAAAATGTTGTACGATGGAGACGAGCCAGAAGACAAAACGCCAGCCTGGAAACCGCACTAAGGCTGCTTTCGTGCTGCTGAATGGCCGTCTTTTAGGAATCGAGGAAGTCGAGACCGAGTCTGACTAGGAAACCCATCCTACTTTTGAGGTCACTGAATGGCCAATTTTCACGATCAAAGGTCTGGTCTGGGCAGTCACGCAGCCCAAAAGCAGCCAATGAATGATGCCTAAAACGAGGGCTAGTGGGTTGCACAGGCAGATAGCAAGTGGTGCTCGTGCAACGCATATCTTTCGCCTGTTGCACTTGTGGAGTCAGGTGTAGAACCGAACCGAAAATCTCTTGGTTGACGGCTTCCTTTTTGGTCCGAATCACTGCCGAACGTCTCCCTCTGACACACAACCGAGGCTCTCGTCTAGCTCGTCTTCGCCTTGTGGTGACTGGAACCTATCGCCATAATACGGTAACAATCTCGTTATATTGTCTGTGCTAGAACAAGGGCACTTGTAATAACCAGGCCACCAAACCTTTAAGGCTAGCAACATATTTTCAAATCTCATACGGTGCCCTATAGTAAGGCTGATTCACATGGACCGAATGGCACACCCTTGATCTTATACACAAATACAAAGTGACTGCATTCTGTAGTTACCGTAGTAGTAGACTTTTGAATGGTACAATTAAACCCCACAATCTGGGTCACTTGAGAGCACTGCCCAGTGAAGCCAATCCTGATGAGTAAGTTTGAGAGCCACAGAAGATATTGCAGAGTAGGGCCACAGCACCGGTACCTACCTATAGAGGTACGCTCCAATTCCAAGAAGCACAAGGATAAGAATAAGGTCAATGCAGAACTTCCGTGGTGACCGAACCTACTTCAACAGTCAGCGTTAGAGAAGCAAAGTAGAAGAAAAAAAAAGTATCTGAATATTTTGCCTGTACCTCTGTCAGAATCTCCTTCAACCTCTTATTATTGTTCCTCAGCGTTTGTGTTGTCGAGTTGACCTAAGAAAAAAAGAGTCGAGTTGAGCAGTTCAACCTTGATGAAAGAATGGCATCGCCAGCAGCTTACCTTGTTCTCTACTGCTTCTAGCATTGGTTCTTGACGATCCATTTCCTGAAAACAAGCGAATACATCATGTGGAGCGTGTGCCATGACAAAATAAGATGTGTCGTTGAAAAACGAAGTACTTCATTCATGTCTTGGGCAAGATGCCTCAGTTTCTCAAGACCGCTAGAGATGTACTCCAGCTCGACATCCTGCAAGAAGAGATTGCAGTGTGGTTAAAGGCGAGCGCAAGATCGACGCAACATCCAAGCCAAGTGGCGTGAGCTCTCGCCATTTCACAAAGCTTTGTATCTTCACACACACAGAGAACCACAATACCTGCTTCTGGACTCGGCGGGTATATTCACTTCTAAATGCCCTGGACTCAGCCGTTGAGACAAAATGATCCCCTGTTGGTCCAGAGTCGCCTGAATGCACCATGCTTGTTAAGCAAAACATTCCAATGATCAGCGCAAGTCAACAACTTACCCATTTCGAGAGCGTCGATCTGGACGTCTGAAACACCCCGTGCAGATGCGATGGTCCTCCCACCTCCTCTCGCAATGCCATCAGGAATCGCCAGAACCTTTTCCAAGAGCGTTCTGACGATGTCTGGCCTCTTCGCAGCCTCGTCAGGGGAAACTCCTTTGACCTGAAGTCCAATTCGTTTAAGCAATATGTGTTACTGATGTTTTCGTTTGTATCCAATTGACTTATTACCTTCCGATGCGCGAGCTTCTCGAGTCGTTGAATTTCCTTCTGCAGAATGTCTTTAGCTCGCCTGATCTCAGCATTGAGGACCGCAACCTTGGCCAGGTTTCTCTCAATAACAGCTGCATTTGATTTCTGCGACGGCGCACATGCGATAATTGTACAATCTTGATAACTTGAAAGAGGGTCAATCTATCGCTTACCTCGATCACCTCCTCCACCTCTACTGTAATCGCTGCATACAAAGTCATAAAGCTGTCCGTCGCATCTTCCTTCGTGACAGTCTCCTTCGTGTACGGCTCATAACGCCGTCTGATAACATCAACCCGGGTTAGGATGTCAGCAGCACTCATGGCTCCTCAGGTGAGGGTGCCTACACCTCTGGAAAGACCGATATTCGCTGCAGTAATGGAACGAATGATGGAAGCACGACTTTCTCCCAGAGACTGATACTCAGACTGCAGTGATGATTGGATAGCAATTTTCAAGCTGAGGAAACTGAGATATGACCACATTGGCTAGCTCAACCTTCCCTTTGCTCTAGTTCGCTCACGCTCCTGGTCTCTAGAGCTCTCGCGCAGCGCTGGATTTGGAAAAGGATAAGGACGCGTTACAACTGCAACACCGGATGAGGTTCGGGACCATATTCCGAAATCGTGAGCATCGATCGCCACAGCCAGGTTTCAATCTGCGTGGACACGATCGCCCTGGAGGTTCCAATTTTGGCGGAGTATTTAACGTTTCTGATCATTATAAATTCTTGAAGAGGGATTTTAGTGCGGTGGCGGCTCAATATTGGACAATCTTTTTGTGACTTGAGTTTACACGAAAGCTAACGAAACAAGGATTCCCTCTCGACCTCGCGAAGTTTCTGTAGACCTACAAATCGATCCCTTGCAGGATTGATGTTTCAATTGTGACGCGTCCTGATTTTGATCACAGCAGTACACGGAAAAGCAATCTTGCACAAAAGAAGTTTCTGAAACGAAATTTATTATTCTAAATCTGGTTTCATTGAACAATCCTACCGTACCTCCTAGCTAAACACATAGATGTCCCAGAAAAATAATGTAATCACTGCTGGCTACCGTGCCCACCAGAAGTAAAATCTACAAGCCGCTGAAGCAAGCCTGGCGACCCATCTAAGCCATCCAGGCCTGCTGAAGCAAGAACCGCAGCTATGGCTGCGGCATCCGAAGAACCCTTTGAGGCTGAACCTGGCCCATCAATGCTGGTGAAGCACGAAACACTTCTACCAAAGTGATGTCCGGACGAGTCAGGGAAAATCCCAGGCGAGGGGAACAAAGACTCAGGCCCAGTCCCCTGCCATGACGTAGGGCAACAATGATCAAACAGACATTGGATAATGTCAGCGAATATATGATTTATACATGAATACAACAACACCGCTGATCAAAATCCAGTCTATATTCGGTCAGGCCTCCTCACCTTGAGCTGCTCCCCAATTGCTTGCTGCAACTGCGCCAAACTTGGCCGTGAATTCTCCCCCGGTTGTACCATCTCACCCCCAATCGCAACCCCACCCACCACCCCTCCCATCCCCTGCGCTCCCCCCACACTCCCTTGCTGTGCGCCTCCTGCACCGCCCCCATCCACACCGCTGGGACTCTCTTCTGACAGCCATGCGGCCACCAGATCAGCCACATTGGAATCCAGTAGCTCCCCTGCCCCTGACCCGCTGCCCGCTGTCCCTGCTGCTACCCCAGCTGCTGCCCCTCCTGCTGCGACTCCTGCTGTTCGTGCTGCTGCAATGCCACCTCCCATGCTCCCACCCATAGAAGTGTCTGTGCCAGCACGAAAGGCAGCAGTAGTGCCGCCTGCACCTGCACCATCAGACGTAGCAGCACTGTTACCACTGCTGGAAGAACCAGCATTTCCCTGGAAAGCAAACCGGCTAGCCATCATCCCCCCAGCACCAGCACCACCGCCCCCTCCCAAGCCGCTACTCCTGCCCACGCCATACCCACCGGTCCCCACCGCACTGCTACCGCTCCTGGGCGGCGGTCGTTCCATGGGCATGCTGCGGCTGCGGTTGAACCTCGCATTCGCAAGGTTCATTCTGAACGGCTGGCACGCAGGTACAGCCTGCCCAGATACGCCCACCTCCCCGCCCAGCTCCCCGTCCTCTCCGCCCATTCCTGCCCCAATCGCTCCACCTGCTCCCCCTGCTCCCCCTGCTCCCCCTGCTCCCCCTGCTCCCCCTGCTCCCCCTGCTCCCCCTGCTCCCCCTGCTCCCCCTGCTCCCCCTGCTCCGCCCGCATTCCCCCAGCCGCCAGCCTTCACCAGATCTACCTCCCCCTCAAACCCGCTGTCCTGTGCAAACGAGGAGGCCCCTCCTCCTGGTCCGCCTGACCGTGGGGACAGGTTGAGCTGGTTTGCCTGCAGCAGCGCCCGGCTCTGCTTGCTGCTGAAACTCCCCCACAGCCCTCCTCCTCCTGCTCCTCCTGCTCCTCCTCCTGCTGCTGCTGCTGCTGCTGCTCCCCTCCTCCTTTCTCGCTGCCTCCGCCTAGAAACGCCTGCGGCCGGGGCGGCCGTGGAGGGGGCAGGGGCGAGGGAGGAGGCGGGGAATCCGCTTTCCCGTCCCCCTTGCCACCACTTCTCCCATCCGCTTTACTAGAGTTGAGACTCAGCCCTCCCACCAGCTGAATCGTCCCATCGATGATGGTGACCGGTGCGTCTGGTAACGGCCCTGCCACGCTGCGACGGAGGGACGGCCGGAGGGAGCGAGACTGGGAGCGGGGACTGGTGGGGCCCACACTGGAGATAGATCGTTTCTTTGACATGAGAGGCGGGAGGGTGAGAGACGCAGCCGCGCTTTTCCCCCCGCCGAGTCCACTTTTCTGGGGAATAAACAAACGTTCCCCCCGAGTTCCATGGTGGTCCGGGGACGAGGCTCCCGAGGCTGGGAATGCGGATCGGGGGTTGTCGCTGCAGGTTCGGCGCAGGTCCGGGAACCAGGAGGGGGAGCTGGGGCTTTCCAGGTCCTCATCTGCATCCCCGTCTTGATGTGCTTCTCTGATCCGCCCTGCACCGATCTCCTCGGAAAATCCCAGCCGTGGACGAAACCGGAGCTCCTCGTTCAACGGCTTGGATTTGCCGGGAGAGGGCGCGTGTTCCCACCCAGATCCCCAAGGGGCGGACGGGGAGGGGAATGGGGCGAGGAGGGAAAGGCCAGGGGAAGCTGCAGAAGCATTTGCAGGGGCAGCGGTGGGGGCAGTGGTGGGGGCAGAGGTTGGGCTGGATTTGGGGCTGATAGTAGGGAAAGAAAAGCCGGAGCCGGCAGGGTGGGCAGAAGGAGCAGCAAAAGCAGGAGGAGCAGTAGGAGAGACAGTAGCCGTGGTAGCAGTCACTGGTGCTGTAAAAATCCCTGTTGTGCCTTGTGCTGCTGCTGCTGAAGGAGCTGAAAACCCCTCTGCCTGCTGCACCACCCCCTGTGCCTCTACCGTTGCTGCCAAACCAGCTAACCCGCCATCCCCAGCCACCCCACCATTCCCTGCAGCCCCAGCATTCCCAGCAGCGCCAGCAGCGGCAGCAGAGCCTGCCAGCACGAGCGCCTGCTCCTCGCCTTCCTCCAATGCAAAGACGTCTATGCCGTCCCCATCCGCCCAGTCCAGCGGGCCAGGGTCGATTGACAGGTCCGGCAGCTTGCCGTCCAGGGCGAAGGGGCTAGCAGCAGACGCATCCGCGTTATAAGCAGCAGCAGCATCAGCATCAGCAGCAGAGGGGTTGACGTTGAAAGAAGCAGCGGTGGTGCTGGTAGGGTTAGGTGCGGCCAACCCAGTACTGGTAGGGTCAGTGCAGGCAGTATGAGTGGATGTTTCCATGGGCTGGGATTGCATGGGCTCAGAAGAGGAGGGGGTGGTGTGGGGCTGAGAGGATGCTTGCATGGCTTGCGATTGCATGTTCAGGATTTGAAGCTGCAGGTCGAGTGCCTGCTGCATCTGCTGTAGCTGCTGCTGCTGCTGCTGCTGCTGCTGCTGCTGCTGCTGCTGCTGCTGCTGCTGCTGCTGCTGCTGCTGCTGCTGCTGCTGCTGCTGCTGCTGCTGCTGCTGCTGCTGCTGCTGCTGCTGCTGCTGCTGCTGCTGCTGCTGCTGCTGCTGCTGCTGCTGCTGCTGCTGCTGCTGCTGCTGCTGCTGCTGCTGCTGCTGCTGCTGCTGCTGCTGCTGCTGCTGCTGCTGCTGCTGCTGCTGCTGCTGCTGCTGCTGCTGCTGCTGCTGCTGCTGCTGCTGCTGCTGCTGCTGCTGCTGCTGCTGCTGCTGCTGCTGCTGCTGCTGCTGCTGCTGCTGCTGCTGCTGCTGCTGCTGCTGCTGCTGCTGCTGCTGCTGCTGCTGCTGCTGCTGCTGCTGCTGCTGCTGCTGCTGCTGCTGCTGCTGCTGCTGCTGCTGCTGCTGCTGCTGCTGCTGCTGCTGCTGCTGCTGCTGCTGCTGCTGCTGCTGCTGCTGCTGCTGCTGCTGCTGCTGCTGCTGCTGCTGCTGCTGCTGCTGCTGCTGCTGCTGCTGCTGCTGCTGCTGCTGCTGCTGCTGCTGCTGCTGCTGCTGCTGCTGCTGCTGCTGCTGCTGCTGCTGCTGCTGCTGCTGCTGCTGCTGCTGCTGCTGCTGCTGCTGCTGCTGCTGGTGTTGCTGCTGCTGCTGCTGCTGCTGGTGTTGCTGCTGCTGCTGCATGGACTGTGCGTTGCCAGGGCTCTGAACGTCACCTTGAAGGACCTGCAACGGACCACAACAGGTCGACACACACAAGGCACGGAGCAGTAACTTTAGGCGCCTCAAAATGGGTTACCGTCGGGATCAGTCAACTTCAAAGAGTGGCAACGGCGTCCATTGGGAATGTGAACGGGGTGACTTCTGAGTCGACTCAATAGTCTAAAGGAAAACCGTGGGGATCGGTAGGCTTCAAAGAGCAGCAACTGCGTCAATTTTGTTCTCTTCGAAGGGGCACTTTGACGCAGTTGCTTCTCTTCGAAGCCGATCGATCAAAGGGGATTCTATGCTCCCTTATATGTTCTTTCAAGCTGACACAAGTGTAACTAGATGCATGGGCACATACAGAACGACTTTCAGAGGATCCCAATTCCACCTCTAATTTTTGCTACTAGCTCCATGAAGCATGAAGAACACATACACAGAGCATGAGACTAGAGGTGCTCATTGCATCGAGGGTGCTGCTGAATCCTGAGACCTGAGCACCACGGCTACTGCTCAGATGCTCACTGCTACTACTCAGTGTGATGGGCCAACACATGCCCCCATTCCCCCCTCCCCTGTTCCCCATTCCCTCATCCCCTGTGTCCCATTCACCCGTCCCTGTGTCCCATTCCCGCATCCCTGTGCCCCATTCGTCCATACAATGCGGCCCATTCACCCATCCCATGTGCCCAATCGCCCATCCCATGTGCCCTATTCCCCCATCCCAGCGCATCATTCGCCCATCCCTGCACCCCATTCACGCATGCGCTGCCACAGCCTCACTCACCTTGAGCAGCAGGGCGAGCTGGTCGGCAGTCAGCACGCTCGCCACCTGATCCAACGCAGACATAACTGCCCCTCCCCCTCCTCCCCCTCCCCCTCCCCCTCCCCCTCCCCCTCCTCCTGCTCCTCCTTGTCCCACTCCTCCTCCTCCTCCTGCTCTTCCTCCTCCTTCAGCCGGCCCAGCAGCAGCGGCAGTGGCAGCAGCAAGAGAAGGATCCAGAACCAGTTGCAGCAACGCCAGCAGCTCAGAACCAGCTGCCCCCGCTCCCTCTGCTGGCCCCCCTCCTGCTCCCGCCCCCCCTCCTGCCCCGACTGCTCCCCCTGCAGTCCCCCTTGCTCCCCCTGCTCCTCTTGGCCCCCCTGCTCCCCCTGCTGCGCCCATATCCCCTCCCCTCCGCCCCCATCCCCCCCGGCCCCCATCCTCCGACCCAGAGGCAGAAACTCTCCCCGGCACGGACGAACTTTTAGCAAAGCGCGAGCGGGAAAAGAAGGGATGACTGGAGGGGGAGCCTGCAGAGGAGGAGGACTGGGCGGGGTTGGCGGGAGTGGGGAAGGAGAGAGACAGACCACCAGGAGGAGCACCACCAGCAGCACCACCAGCAGCACCAGCACCAGCAGCACCAGCAGCACCAGCGTTAGCAGCGGAATTGGCAGCAGCAGCAGCATTGGCGGCAGCGGCGGCTTGGGCATTTGCAGTGTTGGCATACCCTAAAGGCATGGATAAGGCCCGCCCCGTGCCATGCCCCACACCATGCGCCATACCAGCCCCCCCCATGCCAGGCGCCAGCAACGCCCTGGCGATCTCCTTCTGGAACTCCGCTGCTGCCCGGTCCAACTCCGACCGTCGATCGCCGCCCCGGCCCGCATCCAACGGCCCGGATCGCGCGCCGAGAAACGATCCACGGCTGTACTGGCGCGCTCGGGACTCTGCCCTGGAAAGAGACGATGAGCGCATGAAACCAGCCGCCCCCATCCCCCCTGACCCCGTCTCCCCCGCGCCCATCCCCCCCGCCCCCATTCCCCCCGCCCCCATTCCCCCTCCCCTCATCCCCCCCATCCCCCCTGCTGCTGCACCGGTGGTGAACCCAGTCCCCCCCGACTGCTGCACCCCTGCTTGCTGCTCCTGCCCGTCTCCCTCCCCTCCCGAGCTCCCCCCATCAGAAATAGAGCTCCCTGCGGGAGGCCACGAGGGGTTGCGGGGGAAGGCCGCCGCTGCTGCCCCTGCTCCTGCTGCTCCTGCTCCTGCTGCTCCTGCTGTTCCAGCTGCGCTGCCTGCTCCTGCTGCCCTTGGCACTGAACTAAATGACCCAGGAGGAAAAACTGCTCCTCCTGCTGCTCCTGCTCCCATTCCTCCCCCTCCACCTGCTGATGCTGCATGGCTGTTAGGCTGGGAGACTGAGCGGGGCACAGCGGTTCTGAAGGGCCCGCCTTGACCCACGCGGAAGGCTAAACCGCCCAGGCCTGCTGAGGCGGAGGGGGACGCGGGTTCCCCCTTCACGAGCCCCTGCATCAGCTCCCCCAGGCTGATCCCCATCCCTCCCCCTCCCCCTGCCCCTGCCCCTGCGCCCATGCCGATGCCCATGCTCATTCCCATGTCCATGCCCATGGGTCCCCGCATGCCTCTGCCCATGCTTCCACCCATGCCTCCGCCCATGCCTCCGGCCATGCCCATCCCTGTGCTGAACCCGCCTAGGCCTCCGCTGGAGAAGCTGCTCCCCCCAAGTCCCCCCATACCACCTCCGCCTCCGCCCATACTGCCCCCCCCGCCAGTGCTGCCTGCTGCGCCCCCCAGCCCCCCCTGGGTCTTGAGCGACTGGATGTACCTCAGGAGCAGCGTGGGGCGCTGCACTGCCTTGCTGCGAGACGATTCCTCCTGATGTGGGGCGGTGCAATGCGGTGAAGTGGGGTGGTGAGGTGGAAGGGGAAGGTGGTGGGAGAAAGGGAGGTCTCGAGTGACGGGATGTCTTGCCGTTGCACCTTCTATCTCCCACTCCCCCACACTACCGCTCACCCCAATTACCACTTTCCACAATCACCCAAACCCACAAACCCACCTTGTGGCGAATGGTGGAGTTTCAGTGGTTCTTCACGCTGCTGTCTGTGCGCCCTTGCTTACGCTCATATCTCTCCCCACCCCTCCTTACCTCTTCCAACCGCTGTCCACCAACCCCAAATCCCCCCCTCATACTGACCTTGCGGCGGATGGTGGAGTTCCAGTGGTTCTTCACGCTGTTGTCTGTGCGCCCCGGCAGCAGCTTTGCAATCTCCGCCCACCGGTTCCCCAGCTTCCTATGCGCCTCTACCAGCTTCGCCTCCTCCTCCTCCGTCCACGCGTCCTGTAAGAGGGGAGCATGGGGGGAGAGGGGTGGGTACGGAGCTGTAAGGGCAGGGCAAAGGGGGGGCAGTACAAGGGCTCACATTGAATTCCCCAGCTTCCTGTGCGCCTCCACCAGCTTCGCCTCCTCCTCCTCCTCCGTCCACGCGTCCTGCAAGAGGGGAGCATGGGGGAGGAGGGAGCAGACGGGGGTATGGGACGGGTGGGGAGGAAGCGATGGGGGGGAGGAGTGGGGGGAGGATCGGGCGTGGAGCTGTGAGGGCAGGACTAGAGGCTGAGCGGTACGAGAGCTCAAAACGGACTCTATGTGCGCCTCTACTAGCTTCGCCTCCTCCTCCTCCTCCGCCCACGCGTCCTGCCCGGGGAAGAGGGAATCGGGTAGGCGGACAGCGAGGGAAGGGAAGGGATGGGGGAAGTGGGGAAGGGATGAGGGGAAGGGGTGGGAGAGACGTGGGTGAGAGTTTTCAATACAAGCAACCAGGTTTTCTTGATGTTTGCATCACAGAAACAACCTTTTCTTTCTTCACCTCACCTTCTTGATGCCGTGCTTGAGGTGGTTGTGCCACCGCTCGCGGCACTGCTTCCCCGCGCGCCCCTTGAGGTGAGCAGCAATGGCGGACCACCGCTGGGCTCCGTCCTTCTCCACCAGTTTCCTCAGCAGCTCGTCCTCCTCCTGAAGTAAAGGGATCAGATTGGTCAGGCAAACAGGGAACTTCTGAGGCGCCTCTAAAACCACCGCTGGGCTCCGTCCTTCTCCACCAGTTTCCGCAGCAGCTCGTCCTCCTCCTGAAGAGGTGAAGGGAATAGCAGGGTTGGGTGATTGGGAGAAAGTCAAAAGTCTCTTTGACAACAGCTGCAGCAGCCAGTTGAGCAAACGAGTCAGCTGAGGAAACTCGCTCCACCAGTTTCCGCAGCAGCTCGTCCTTCTCCTGTAGATAAGGGAAATAGGGTTTGTTAATGGGAAGGAAGTTACGAAAATCTTCAACAGGTGGGAGGACATGTTGGGCAAGTGGGATCCAAAAAAAAAAACTCATTAGAAGTCACGTATTTCCTATGAGAAAAAGTGTTGCGCAAACGGAGAAGAACAAAAATTTGCACAACATCATTCAGACTCTCACGCACAACACCCCATTCATCATCTGACGTGAAACGCAAAACTGGAGAACCCGTACCGTGACTGATGATCCGATCAAGTTTCAAGAGTACTCATTCTAGGCATCCTCTTCCAGCATAAAGCGCATACACACCGTGACTCAGTTTTGGTCACGCTGCGAAAAGCACTCACCTCAAACACTACCCCCCAGCATGAAACGCAGACTTGCAAAGCTTAATCAATTCGTCGAAGTTAAGACCTATTTTTGAAGCACCTAAAGAAAGCAACCACACGAATAATTTCGACTGAGCGTGAAACACGAAACTCGAGAATCCGAACCGGATTTATCACACTCTGAGGATCCGAACGGATCCAGGACCCGTTAACGTTGGCGTTAGTTCGTCAAAACATCACTTCCTGACGTTTCGTATTCGCTGTTAGCCCATCTCGGATTCAAGACCCAAAAATTCGTTCAGCGGTCCAGTCAATCGATTGACGTTGGTGCTCACACGCGAGAACGTCGCTCCTTCTGGTGTCTCTGATTTGTTCCTCGAGCATCTGAAACCGGAAATTCAAGAATGAGTACCGGGATCCATGGACCCTGGGGGTTTGGTGTTCGCCTGCGGAAACATCACTCCCCCTCGCAGAACACATATAAACGAAAATATATAATAACGCGTACCGGGGTCCATTGTCCCTTGGCGTTGGTGTTGGCTCGCGGAAACATCACTCCCGCGTGACCATCCTCGCCTCCTGAACCCTCGCCGTCGCTTCCGTCGCCACCGTCGCCACCTGCCACGTCAGCCATCATCGAAGCACCTGAAGCTCTCGGATCACGCTGCTGCTCCTGTTGCTGTTGTTGCCGTTGCTGGTCTTGTTCCTGCTGAGATTCGGCTCCGCCTGAAGAAACTCTACCAGGTTCGTCAGCCATAGCCATGGCTGTGTCTTCCCTAGACACTGTACCCGCAAACCCTAACGGATTCGACCAATCTGTTTCGTCAGCTTTTACGTCTACGTTCATCGTCCGTCCCGTGTCTTCCACTTCCGCGGTCGTACCCGCGCACCTGAATATTCCAACACCTACTAAGCCTGGTTGATTGACCATCTTTAAATCGGTCGAAAATGAATCTGGAAGTTCAGCCATGACCTTTCTACCTTTCGCTCGACGAGGAGCGACAGTAATCACTTTCTTGGCTGGCAGTTATCAGGCTGACATTACTCCACGTAGGTTACTCGATAGAGGAACAACAACACTGGAGTCGCTCGAATGCCAAGCAGCTACGATGAGAGTGTGTACGCGCAACAGTACACGTCGAAAAAGAATGCAGTTTCTTGTTCTAGGTGCTTCGTCTGCCGTTCTTCACTTTCCTTCAAAGAACAACCAACCAACCGAAATTCCTTCACACCTCGTCAAACAAGCACATCTGGCCGAACTGTATTGCAGCAAGCCAGCAACTAAACCAACATCCGTCCTTCAAAGCGCACGACTGAAGCAAGCAGTGCTGCTGTGCTGTCCCTCGCAACACTTATCTCTCCGCCTGCTCCCTGCTTTCTGCCTAGTGCTAGCACAACCAGACACTTGCACCATCTGCAGCAGAACAGACCAATGGAATCATGGAGAATTCAACCTCGATATGAAAGTTGGGACACTGGACCTTATAAATTAGGTTCTGATCAAAAGATGGGTGGATACTGAAAACTTCCACAACCAGACTGTGAGCTCGGTGGGGAAAGCAGTGAGTGAATGGGTGGGAGAAATTTGTTGGAGGAATAAAAGAATATACCTGATCGATGGGGATAATATGGAAACAAGCAGCAGTAGGGGAGGGAACTGGGGGAAGTCGGAAAGAGGGGGGAATCGCTCAACGGGAGGGGGGAGATGGGGTTCGCCTGAGGACGAATGCGGGGGAGGGAGGGCTCGACTTGGGCGGGCGAATGGTTCGGGCGGGAAGAAGGGAACAGAGGCGGCGGAACCAAGCGGCGGAAATGGCGGGAAGAGCGGAAAGTTGTTGAGACTTGCCGTTCGACCCTCGGGCAGAAATCGGCAACCTTCCCTGTCATTGCTTGCGACCGAGGTTTCTGCCTGTTTCCTGTACAGTAATTCCGTCCCCTTTCTATGACCGTGTTTATTGGACAACGACGTTCGCCATGGGTGCTTTCTGTCGCAGCATCGTTTGTTGTTTGACGGAGAGAAAGGCTGCAGCTTATTTGTTATTGGTTGACGAACAAACGCGTCGTATCTAAAGCACGATTTGGGCACCACATGTTAATCGCGTCCCGCCTGTGTCACGGTCGTGGTGTGACAGAGATCCGACGGAAACGAACAAACCGACTGATAACCTCCCCCATGCGGACTGCGTGTGTGAGGAAGGGCCTCCACCGACACAATCGCAGCTTGCCGTTTCCATTCGTTTTTTTCAGTTACAGAACAAAAAGATGGACTCTCGCCTTGACAATAGCGAGGCTACGTAGCCGTAAAAATAAAATTAAAACTAAATAAATTAAAAAAAACCTTTAACAAGAATTCATTTCTAGTGGCAAATTACAAATCTATGTACCAGTTCTAGTATGTTGTAAGGAAATTTATTCGATTCCGTACCGCGGACTACCACGATGCACATAAAGCTCAAATGTTCTTCGCCCGTTACAGCCTTAACAGTATTTTCCACTTCGCACGTCACTTTTGTCAAATTACACTGCTAGACTTGGTCGAGTCGACCTACGTTGCGGGACTAGCCCATGGCTGATTTTATTAGGGTAATTACCCTGATTTCAGGGTGATTTCAGACTTGTCACCTTGTGGTCCCACGAATTTCAGAATTTATGACTTGTGAACACTGATCCATTAAGAATAATGCTTTAGCGGACCCTGAAATTTTGTACACACGCTAAGAGAAGTGTTCTTATAGACTATGTTATTATACAGTACGAGTCTTGTGGACCCCGAATGAGACATTGGTGCTGTTCGCCAGCAAATCGTTTTTTAAATTGAAAACGATGGCATCAGCATCGCGACCGCATATGGAAACGGGGGCGGAACCCTCCTCCGAGGTTTGGGCGAAATTGTCAGAATAATTGAGCAGGAATGGAATGAACTAGCACAGAGTTTGGTACAAGTAGGAAACCCTAACTTTGTGTACCCCCTAAGGTGTAACCCACTACAGCCTACACAATATAAACATACAATGTTTGACACACCCCCATAGGCGCAGTGGGAGACAACCACAGGGTCACAAGACCAGTCAAAGCAAAGCAAAGCAAGCTCAGGGTGGATCTCAAGGATTCCACACAAATTCCGAGCACAAGCAAGCGGTCACAAGACCAGTTCACATGCAGGTTTATAACAAAACAAGAGATACAGTGATCACAACCTAGCAAAAGTAAACAAGTAGGCATATATATATAGTGATCACAGTACAAGCAAGGTCAAGAGGTAAGCAAGTGAGGCCCAGTAAGTACAACGCCTAGCAGAGTGCAAAAGCGCTGATGGTCACAAGGCTGAAGCGCCTTGGTAAACACATCAGCAGTGTTGGCCTCCGTGGCCACGTAACGCAGACAAAGCTGACCACGCTGCTGCAGCTCTCGAGCAAGGAAGTACCGCAGAGCGATGTGCTTCGTTCTGTGCTCCAGTCTGTGCTCCTCACACAAGGCAATGGCAGCCTTGTTGTCGACGTACAGCACTGGAGGAGAACGAGGCCGCTCTCCGAGGTCGGTCAGCAGGTAGGTCAGCCAGCGTAGCTCCTGAGCAGCCATGGCTGTGGCGTAGATCTCAGCCTCACAACTGGAGCTGAGAACAGAAGAAGAGCGAGTAGAACGCCAAGAGACTGAGCCAGAGCCAAGGCTGAAGGTGTAACCCTGTGACGACCGCTGAGTAGCCTGGTCGTCTGCCCAGGAAGCGTCTGAGTGCCCTGTGAGAACAACCCGGTCTCGCCCTCCAAGCACAAGCCCCATGCCCGACGTACTGCACAAGTAGCGCAACACCCTCTTAGCAGCATCCATGTGCTCCTTCCTGTGACGGCCAGGAGCGACATAGCGTGCTAAGATACTAAGAGGGTATGCAAGGTCAGGTCGAGTGCAGGTCATCAGGTACATGAGGCAGCCCACAAGCTCTGGATACGGGCCACTCGGCTCTACGGACTCATCCGAAGGCAGAGCTGAGAGCGAGTGACCGGTAGGCAGAGGAGTGGACTGAGGCGAGGAGTACGTGAAGCGGAAGCGCTGGAGAACCTGCTGCACCATGTGTGACTGAGTCAGGGTGATGGTGCGCCGTGCTCTGTCCCGGGTGATCCGCAAGCCAAGATAGCTCGTCAGCTCACCCAGGTCTGTGCACGTGTGTCTCCTCTGCAGCTCCGACTTCACGTGGGCGAGTGCCGCGGTGTCAGCAGTGGCAAAGACCAAGTCGTCGACGTACACGAGGATGTAGAACGGCGGCAGCGAGGTGTCGGTGTGTAGAAACAGCGACGGGTCAGCAGTAGAGGGAGCGAACCCAAGAGCCGCAAGTGTCGTCCTCAGTGTGTCGTGCCACTCACGTGGCGCCTGGCGGAGACCGTAGACCGGCCGCTGAAGCCTCCACTGGGTGCCAGGAGGAACTGACCCAGTGAAGCCAGGGGGGCGGCGCAGCCAGATCTCCTCGTGCAGGCTGCCCTGCAAGAAAGCAGTGCTGAAGTCAAGAGAGTGAAGCTCGTAGTCGCGGTGAGCGGCTATGTGCAGCAGCACCCGAAGAGTAGTCATCTTCGGGGTGGGGGAGAAGGTCTGAAAGAAGTCTACTCCCTCTCGCTGACTGAAGCCTCGAGCCACGTAGCGCGCCTTGAAGACAGGCGGAGAACCCGGCGGCCGCTTCACCCTGAAAATCCACATGCCACTGACGATGTTCGCCCCAGGAGGGGGAACCTCGTCTACGTAGGTGCCTGTGGACTTCCAGGAAGCCATCTCTGCGTCCATGGCTATCTGCCACTGAGAGGAGTAGGGACCCGCCATCGCCTCAGCGTAAGAGCGTGGGGTCGGGATGTCTGGTGCATCCGGGTCTCCCTCAGGGGCAACTAGCAAGGACACGAGACGGGGCAAAGCAGCAGCAAGGCAGTGGAACTCCTCCTGTCTGTCCTCAAGGACGTCTGTGCCAAGAGCACACTCACCCCCGACGGACGGAGGACAGGCAGACGCAGACTCAGACTCAGCGACAAGGCTGGCAGCGTAGTCTAGGCGACAGCGAGCAGCAAAGTCAACCAACTCAGCGACCAGAGCAGACGCAGCAGAGGACTCAAAGGTCGGGTCAGTGACAACTGTAGCGAGGAGACGCGTAACAGTGGGACTGGCAGCACGACGGGAGTCAGACTCCGGGTCAGGAAGAGTAGGAAGAGAGGACGCAGGAGGAGACGGCAGCGGGACACGCTGCGGAGCAGTGGAGGGACGCAGAGTCATGTAGTGAGTGCCAGGGACAGGAGGAGGACGCTCACGTGGGACACGACGACCAGTGCGAGCAGTACGAACAGGCGACGCAGGACAAGACTCAGGCTCACGACGCTCTGTAAGACCTCCTGTGGGACCAGCGTAAGGAGAGGGAGCAGGGAGAGGCGAGGCAGGCGGTAACTGTGACTGCGGCTGGACAGGCAGAGGACACTCGACTGAGGGAGGAGGACTAGGAGGAGGAGCCTGACCAAGAACCTGCTGAAGGAGCGGTACGAAGTACGGTCGCGGCCGCGCAGCGTCTCCAGAAGCAGCAGGGACACCAGTGGCAGCCCCAACGCCCGAGTCCTCAGCACCAGCAGCAGCTCCAACGCCTGGGTCCTCAGCACCAGCAGCAGCGCCACCGGTCGGGTCCTCAGCACCAGCAGCAGCTCCAACGCCCGGGTCCTCAGCACCAGGCGCAGGGCCACCGGTCAGGTCCTCAGCACCAGCAGCAGCGCCACCGGTCGGGTCCTCAGCACCAGCAGCAGCTCCAACGCCCGGGTCCTCAGCACCAGCAGCAGCTCCAGCGTCCGGGTCCTCAGCACCAGCAACAGCACCACCGCTCGGGTCCGCAGC